TATCCTCAGTTCTCCACCTGAAGGATTTCCGAGGACTTCTTCCTCTGGCAATGGGCTGGCTCCAAGTGGGAGCCAGGTGCAAACACCTGAACAAAGACAGGAGAGTGTACGGAGTTGGGGGGCACAGGGGGCTTCTGACTTCAACCCCAAAGAGTAAGAGAGGGAGCGCGAAGCCTGCACCAGTTCTCAGCACCAGCTGTGCTATAAGCTCGCAGCTCTGTCTTGAGGCTAACCAGTGAGTGGACAGGCAACCGGTGGACAGACAGAAGGGAGGTCCTCCACCGGGCCTGAGACCCTGCCAAAAGTGCCTGGCATCCTGTCCTCAGCATGGCATCCTCGAGAAAGAGCCAACGAGAGGGGAGAGGCTGCAGAGAAGAGGAAAGGATGGCGTGAGACTGAACAGAAAACGAGGGGACAGTCCAGGGGTTAAGACTCCACACCTCTACTGCAGGGGACACAGGATCGATTCCTGAACTAAGATTCCCGCGTGCCGTGTGATGATGGCCAAAAAGAAAAGAGAGAAGAGACTGGGGGTATGGGAAGGGCAGAAAAAGATTTTTAGCATCCTAGAAACAGAAAGCTATCAAACCAACAGGCAAACCAGATCCAATCCAGTGTCAGGAACAGACGTGGAAAATGGGTCACAAGATTTAAATCCCAGCCCTGCCACTCGCAAGTTAAAGAACTTGGGTAAGTGGGCTCACCCTATCTGTGCCTCCATTTCATCATCTGTAAAATGGGTGGTAGTAATAGCAACAGAAACTGCACCTCATAGGGCCAACACGATTCAAAGAGACCACGCGGGTAAGGTGTTCAGCCCAGGGCTCACACATAGTAAGTACTCAATAAACATTACGGAAAGGGTTCCGCAAACACCGTAAAAAGCAAAAGCGTTCTACAGACAGCTGTGATCATGAACGAAGGCGCTGAGACCAGGACAACCCAGGGGAGGGCTGGGATTAGAGTGAAGTGGAAGGGAGTTTTTCCAGTCTCTGCCCTGGGAACTAGAGAAAGGCCTCAGGGAAGCTTTGGGAAGTCAGTCCCCTCAGGCAGGAGGATCCTGGGATGCTCCCTCGGGGGGACTCAAACCCACAGTGGCAGGGCTCTGGCCCGCAGCAGCCCGAACCCCTCCCCACCACGCTCTGGCTGCCCAGCGGAAAGGGCACCTGCTGAAGAACCAGACCCACCAGGGTCTGAGTGTCCGCTCTACACCTCACTAGCGCACAGCCTAGGAGGAGATCAGGGACTGACACAGGGCCCCCAAGGAGCACACCATCACCCCACGGGCCACCCCTGCCACAGGACCAGCAGCTGGGTGCCCTTGACCCTGCTCTAACACACAGAGGCACCACAGATGGGCGAGCCCAAAGTCCAGACTTTCCATGGAAACAGAGAGGCTCCGTAGCCTGGAATGCCCCAGGCAATTCCCCTGCTCCCCAGTACTCCCCCCCAAGGACAATGAGGCACTGTGTTCCAGAGGGTCAAGACTGCTGAGAAGCTGCAAGGAGACAGGTCCAGATCCCAGAGGCAACTGGGCATTGCCAACAGCTGGCTGCTCCCCCTGAGAGGGATGGGAACGGCAAAGCTATCGAGGCCTGAACCAGCCTACCCACTGCCACTGGACGATGGCCCCAAGGGCAGAAGTTTAAAAGGCACCTAGCAATCACTCAGCAGGCCGCAAGGCTCATTCCCCTGGTTGATTACCAAGCACTTACTAACTCATTAGCACCCCCCCCCCGCCCCCGTAAAGAATCTTCCTGCAGTGCAGGAGAGGGCAGTTCGATCCCTGGGTGGGGAAGATCCCCTGGAGGCGGGCATGGCAACCCACCCTAGCACTCTAGCCTGGAGAATCCCCATGGACAGAGCAGCCTGCTGGACTGTGGTCCATGGGGTTGGAAAGAGTCGGACGTGACTGAGCAAGCACGTACTACCTTATTATGAAGATGACCAGGTGTGGAAGTGGATGATCGACCTGGGTTACAATCCCAGCGCCCCCACTGAACTTTCATGACTCAGATTTCTGCATCCGTCAAGCGGAGATTAAACACCTCCCTCCCGGAATCGCTGTGATGATACCAAGGAGTGCTGAGTAGCATGCCTGGCTCCTATTAAACGCACGTGATCACTGTTAGCCCCCAGCTGTGGTCATGGTCCCCATCCCCCCACCCCCCAGGCGCACTAAAAAACGTGGAGGGGAGGGCAGAACATGACCAGAGTGCCTCTCTGTGTTGTGAGAACTCTGTCCAGGAAACTCCAGCCAGAACTGGAACACCGAGAACTCCCAGCCAAACCAGCATCTAAACAGTAATGAGGAAAGCCACCAGCAACCACCCCGGAGCACAAAGCAGACAGAACACCCAGGGAAGGGCCGGACTCTCTGCGTGTACTTACAGTTTTCTGCCCAAAGAGCTATAACTTTGTAACTTATTAAACAACACATGGTGAGTTTGTCACTAACAGCTACAGGACGGGAGGGCTCCCCAGTTTTTTTTCTTTTAGACCAAAAAATAAAAAAAGTCACAGCACAGACTCTGACCCCTCTAGACTTGCCACAGGTCAGACTCTTCTGTTTTAGGGACCCAGAGGCTCACAGCTGACAGCACTCTCAGGAGAAAAATAAAAACAAGAGGCTTGGCCTCTGGGTCCAGCCTAACTAAGGAAAACAGCTGACGGGCAGGGTGCTGAGCAGCCATCCAGACAGCTGATGGGGGTTGAGAGCAGAGGCGAATTCCTCTCTCCTCCTGCACGCCCCATTCCGCCCACCCCAGGCTCCGGTCAGTCAGCCAGGCGTGGCTGGCCCCCTGGGAGCTCAGGCCAAGGAAGCCAGGCAGCCCAGATTCAGACAACTGAGGAGCCTGTCGGGGGAGGCAGGAGAAGTAGTTACAGGTGGCAGCCATCACCTCTCTGAGACCCCCTTGTCACGAAGAAAGGCCTCGTGGTGCACAGAGCTGCAGATGTAGGAGCGAGGGACTGGGTTTCCAATCATGGTTTTGCCATCTTACGACTGTGCAACCTTGGGCCAGGGAATCAACCTCTCTGAGCCTCAGTTTTCTCCATCTGTAAAAGGCCAGCAGGACTGAGAGCAGGGACCCTTAAGGGGCTCCTTGAGAAGAGTTGCTGTGAAGACAGCACAGTTGAGGTACGGGGAAATACTCCAGGAACGGCAAATCTAAATTTCTGCAATCTGCTCTGCCAGGACCCTTTCTTTCCTTTCAGAGACAACTCAGTTTCCTGGCCCTAAATGGAAGACTGTCAGAGGACAGGAATTCCGAGCTTCAACAGGGAACTCTACAAAGACTTTCTCAGTCCTTCAAACAGCACAGGGCCTGTCTGGAAGCAATAGAACCCACACCAGCATTTCAGAAACTGTGACTCTGCTTGTGAGTTCCCACAGGGAAAGCATTGAGATTTTCAGATCCTGATTCGAAAAATATTTCCCAGCCTCCTTTCAGTTTGGTTATTTTTATGCCAAAAAAAAAAAAAAAATACCTGCCTGGAAGCCATGCCAACCTTGAGTGTGCTGGAAAAATGGGTGCCAAGCCTGACCCAAAGGCAGAACTATGCTTGGCAGCCATTGTACTTTGCAAAACAGGCAGGACTGCACACTCTCCTCAGCTCCAGGATCTGGTTGGGGAGGCACCCTGATCCCCAAAGGAAGCTTCTGGGAAGCAGTCACGCCCCAATCCTCCTCCCTGTTCCCTTGGAAGTCCAGTGCCTACAAATAACCAGTCTTAATTTAGTGCCCTGTGCGGCTCAGGGGAGGCCCATCAGTCCTGTCTGATGAATCCACCCCTAAGAGCTTGAGACAGAGAAAGCATCAGTGGTCACACAAGCCACCCACAGTCCATAGAGGGAAGACAAGGCTCCTACAGAGAAGAAACTTTCCGCCCCCTCCTCAACTCCCTGGCTCAGAGGCCTTCCAGCTCCAGGCATGAAGGGGAGGGAGAGTGAATCCTCCACTCCAGGGTTCACAGTGCTCAAGGCATTCCTAGAACCCTGGCACCAACGCCCCTGGGTTTAGCATCTGGTTCCAGAAGATACTTTCTCCTGCCCAAACTCCAGATCAAGGCTGGATGGAAGAAAATTAGTTTGGGAGCTCCAGTCACATGAAAACAGTAAAACTCTGTTCTGGGCATCCTATCCTCCTTACCTGTGTGGCTTCCCGCAAGGTACTACCAGCCTGGACAAGTTCAGAGATGGCCATACCTCGGGGGCCCACTTCCCACCTCATTCCCCTGGCAGACACCAGTCTGTCTCCCCAGCCTACGCTTCTAGGATGAGGCTGGTCTTCGATATGAAAGCGGAGGGGCTGGGCCACTGAGCGGCCAGGGCAGTGAAATGGACCCAGGGCCTTAGTGGGGCAGAAAGGAGCCTTGTCTTTGTGGGGATGTGGTCATGGAGGCTCATCCCTAACCTGTGAATCTGACCTGTGAAATAAAAGGGGTAGACTCGGAGGGACTACCCCTGAGGTGCCGGATGTCCGTCCGTGAAGTGGGGGTGGTCCTCCTCCAGGGGCTGGGAGCAGGCCCGGCTGCGCGATCAGGCAGCTGATCCCCAAATTGGGTGCTCCAACTGTGCGATGGGGGTGGGGGAGCCCTGTGTGAAGTGAGGGTCCCGCTGCGGGGGAAGCGGTCAGGTCCCGGCAGTGGGGGCCCGTCCCTGAGGCGGACCGGGCGGGTCCCTGACGAGCAAGCAGGTCCCTGAGGCTGAGCTGGGAGATGGGGGTGGATCCCCGAGGTCGGAGGGTCCGGAGGTGGGGCTGTCCTCGAGGCGAAGGGGTGGCGGCTGTGAGCACGGCGGCTGGCCTGGCCTGGGACTCAGGCCCAGCCCGGGATCCGGTCCTGCCGAGCCGGGGCTAGCCGGAACCAGAGCCGGGCCCCGGGCCGCAGCGGGTGGGATTCAGCCCGCCGCTCGCGCGCTCGCTCGCGCCCGCCCCGGCCCGGGGCCCGGGGCCGCGCGCCCCTCGGCTGCCTCCTCCCTCAGCCTCTCTAGTCACTCACCGAGGTCGTCCATGGCTGGGGGGCCGCGGGCGCCGGGAGCCGGCTCGGCGTCGCGCTCGCTGCCCGTCCCGGGGCCGCTCCTCACCGCCGGGCAACTTTTCCGTCGCGAGCCTCGGCCCGGAACGGAACGCGCCGCCGCCGCCGCCGCCGCCGCCGCGCGCGCCCGCACCCGCCGTACGGCCCGCCCCCGCGCGAACGCGCGCCCCGCCCCCGCCGCGCGCTCCGCCCCCGCCGCGCGCTCCGCCCTTGGGCGCCCCGGGGAAGCTGCCGGCCCCGCCCCGTGCGCACTCTGGCCTCGCCCCCTCCGCCAACCCGCGAGAGCGCGCCCAGCCCGGGCGGCGGGCGCCGCAGGGCGGGGCGGCGGCGCCGCCTTGTGGCCAAGCCAGCAGGTGGGAGGCTCCCGGGTTTCGAGCCCTCTGTCAGTCTTTCGGTCCCGGGGTCGCAAGCCTGACTGTCTGGCTGTCCTGACGTTTCACAATCTTACCTGTGAGTGTCCGTCCATCGGTCACTCACTTATCACACCGCTGTCCACTGGAGAGAGATTTGTCCTCCCGTCCGTCTACGTCCATCTTCCAGTAAGTTGCCACCCCACCAAAGACCCTAAATTAGTACCAGGTAAGGCTGATGCTGAAGCTGAAACTCCAATACTCTGGCCACCTCGTGCGAAGAGTTGACTCATTGGAAAAGACCCTGATGCTGGGAGGGATTGGGGGCAGGAGGAGAAGGGGACGGCAGAGGATGAGATGGCTGAATGGCATCCTCGACTCGATGGACATGAGTTTGAGTAAACTCCGGGAGTTGCTGATGGACAGGGAGGCCTGGCATGCTGAGATTCATGGGGTCGCAAAGAGTCGGAGACGACTGAGCGACTGAACTGAACTGAAGGCTGGTTTGAAGGACCTTTCCTGGGGTCGCCCTCTGGATCCGTGGCAGTGCAATCTCTCGGCCCAGCCTTTGAGGCCAGATTCAATATTTTCAAGGTTTGTTGTTTAGTCACTAAGGCTTATCTGACTCTTTGCAACCCCATGGACTATAGCTCGCCAGGCTCCTCTGCCCATAGAATTCTCCAGGCAAGAATACTGGAATGGGGCCATTTCCTTCTCCAGGGGAATCTTCCCGACCCAGGGATCAAACCCACTCTCTGGGGTCTTCTGCATTGCATTGTTGACTGCTGAACTACCCAGGGAAGCCCATTTTCAAGGTTATATATTCTTTAATCTTACACATATCCATCCTCCCTAGAAGGAGACTTTTCCAAAATTCTGGGCAGAGCAAAAAGGACCCCACCTTAGACCCTAAGGGAAAAAGTACAAGGAGGTTACACCCAGTGCTGGGCACGGTTTTCTGAAACACCCCACTGCCACCCCAGACCCCAGAGGGGCTTTGCTCTCACAGACTCAGAAATCATGTGATAGCACCACCTGCCGTGGGTTTTCTTCCCCCACCTGCCATTTATTGAGTGCCAGCACTATCAATAGAATGAACAGGCTGTAAGCTGGGTGCTTCTGTGCTTTCTTGCATTTAATTCTGACCACAAACCTAGGAAATGACCACTAGTATCCCCTTTTTCAGTTGGAAAAGTTAAGACCAGAGAGATTGAGTTACCCAAGGTCATGGAGCTGATAAGCAGGACTGAGATCTGAACCTGGAAGACCTAACTAAGGCCTCTGCGGGACACCAGCTACTCTGCCGGGTGAAACTATTGTCCTTAGACCAATCCCACAGCATACACATGTCCCTGTTTCAAAGGTCTCAACACCCCCCCCCCTTTTTTTTTTAAGGTGGATCACCTATTTTTTAAATATTTATTTATTTATTTGGCTGTGTTGGGTCTTAGTTGTGTCATGTGGGATCTTTCGTTGTGGCACTCAGGCTCTCTAGTTGGAGTGCCCAGGCTTAGTTGTTCCCTGGCATGTGGGATCCTAGTTCCCCAACCAGGGATCAAACCTGAGTTCCTTGCATTGCAAGGTGGATTCTTGACCATTGAACCACTGGGGAAGTCCCTCAAACCTTTCTTTTCAAAGCAATACTCACTGAAAAGAAAAACATCAATTAAGCTGGCAATTATGCCTTTGGTGGGTGAAGTTCTAAGGATGGGCTTCCCTGGTGGCTCCGTCGGGGAAAAAATCTGTCTGCAATGCAAGAAGTGGGTTTGATCTATGGGTCAGGAAGATCCCTGGGAGAAGCAAATGACTACTCACTTCAGTATTCTTGCCTGGAGACTCCCATGGACAGAGGAGCCCAGCGGGCTACAGTCCATGGGGTTGCAAAGAGTCAGGCATGACTGAGTGACTAAGCACATCAACTTGAACGTTCTAAAGAGAACTGAGGCTTTGTGGTTCAGTGCTGTGACCTTGGACACTCAGTCCTTTACCTGGGATTTCCTCCCCTCGGGGATTCCTATCCCCAAGCCATCAGATTTGGTTAATTCAAACCAGGTTTTCTCATACTTCCTCAAGATGAACTGATGTTGCCTCTCCTCACTACCCAGACTGGGGTCCACATGGCATTGTTTTGGATTCCCATCATAACTTAAAGGGAAATTTTAACCATATCCAGAGCCCTTGATGTCCTGCAAATAAGGAGGAGAGTGTCCTCAGATTCCTTGCATCAGAAACTCACTTGTGTGTGTGTGATCAGTCACTCAGTCATGCCCAACTGTTTGTGACTGCATGGAGCTCGCCAGGCTCCTCTGTCCATGGAATTTTCTAGCAAGAATACTGGAGCGGGTTGCATTTCCTCCTCCAGGGGATCTTCCTGACCCAGAGATCTTACCCGCATCTCTTGCTTCTCCTGCATTGCAGGCAGATTTCTTTACCACTGAGCCACCGAGGAAGGGAAACCCACTTAGGTGGCACCAAGTTTAACTTTCAAATGAAACAGCATGTCTACAAAAGGGAAAGTCATGGCGTCTACATCACAAATCTGAAGAGAACCTTGCAGAAGCTTCTGTTGGCATCTCACGCCATCGTTGTCATTGAAAACCCAGTGGACACCAGTGTCATTTCCTCCAAGAATACTGGCCTGTGGGCTGTGCTGAAGTTTGCTGCTGCACTGGAGCTGTTCCTATTGCTGGCCGCTTCGCTTCTCTCTTAGAACCTTCACTAACCAGATCTAGGCAGACCCTGTGGTCACTAATCACAGGGCTGACCACCATCCTCTCACAGAAGTCTCTTCACCTGCCTTCCATTGATCTATGTGACAGACTCTCCTCTGTGCTCTGGGCCCGGCCATCCTGTGTGACAACAAGGGAGCTCACTCAGTGGGTCTGACGTGGTGGGTGCTCGCCCGAGAAGTTCTGCGCATGCGTGACACCATCTCCTGGGAACACCCTGGAAGGTCATGCCCGATCTTTCCTTCTACAGAGATGCTGAAAGGGATTGAAAAGGAAGAGTGGGCAGCAGCTGAGAAGGCTGTGACCAAGGAGGCATTTCAGGGTGAATGGAGCGCTCCAGCTCCTGAGCCCACCGATGCTCAACCTGAGGTGGTGGACTGGTCCCGAGGTGTGCAGGAGCTCTCTGGGCCTATTCTGCAGTTCCCCGCTGAAGATTGGTCTGTAGCTCCCACCACTCAGGCCACTGAATGAGTAGGAATAACCACTGTGGTTGTTGAGGAACAACCACAACAGTCTTAAGCTGTTCTACAAACTTTTTATTTTTTTATTTTTGGCTGCACTGGGTCTTAGTTGCAGCATGCAGAATCTTTAGTTATGGCATGTAAATGCTTAGTTGCAGCATGTAGGGCCTAGTTCCCCAACCAGGGATCAAACCCGGGACCCCTGCATTGGGAGCACAGTCTTAGTCACTGGACCACCGGGTGGGGGGTGGGGAAGTCTCCACTAACTCTTTAAGTGGAGATAGGTTGATGGAAAATAAACAGTCTCTAAAAGAAAAAAAGAACTGACATTGACAGAACACTGATGGACAGCACTGCCAAAACTGAATTCAGGGTCCGCACGATGAGAAAAGAACCTCCAAGAAGGCGGATGCACCATGGGACCACTCCATGGCCGAGATTGCTGAGGGCCCTCTAGTCCATGGAATGTCTGTCTCTTCGTGTATGTTGTTCTTTCCACGTTCATGGCTCTGGATGGCTCTTCCTGTCCCAGCCCACAGGCCCCTCTGCTCAGCAATGTAGGGTAGAGGTTAAGTACACAGTTCAGTGGACTAAGAAAGACCCAATTCCAGCTATCTTCCTTGATGGTGGTGAATCTCGGTCCATTTTGCTCTTTGCACCCGTTTCCTCCTCTGCAGAAAGTAGATAAATAATAGCTACCTGTCAGAGTCATCATAGGATCAAGCAAGATACTACACACTTACACCTCAGTCTATCCCTGGTCATCAGCAAGCACTGTCTAACTCAGGCCTAGGTATGTCAAGCTCAGTTGCTCAGTGGTGTCCAACTCTTCGCGATCCCATAGACTGTAGCCCACCGGGCTCCTATGTCCATAGGATTTTCCAGGCAAGAATACTGGACTGGGTTGCCATTTCCTACTCCAAGGAACTCAGGGCTTATCCCCTAGAAACAAAATGCAATGTATGTAATTAAAAATTTTCTAGTAGCTGCATTGAAAAAAATTAGAAAAACAGTTAAAATGAATCTTAGTATTTTATCTAATCCAGTCTATCCTAAATGTTACCATTTCAACTTGTAATCAATATAAAAATATCAGTTAGATAGCTCACCTTTTTTTTAGTAGGAAGTCTCTGAAATCACATTTGCATGTTACGCTTACACATTTCATTTCCACTAGCCACAGTCCTAGGACTCAAGAGCCTCATGTTGGCTAGTGGCTACCACCCTGGACGGCACAGATTTAAATGTTAGCTGGCGTCATTATTTGGGGGAGTGGGGAGATTTCAACCTAAAAGCCATTTTCTCAGAAAACCATTCCTTGGCCTGGTAGACTATGTCAGGGCTCCTGTGATTATGACCTGTTTTTAGCACTCCTCATAATTGTACAGTTGACTGGGAAAACACTGGTTTGAACTGCACAGGTCCACTAATAAGCAGGTATGGTTTTTTTTTTTTTTTTTTTATGGCTGCTTGGTTTGCAGGATCTTACTTCCCCAACCAGGGATTAAACCTATGATCTGGGCAGTGAATGCCCCAAAGAATCCTAACCACTGGACTGCCAGGGAATTACAAAGTTATTACAAAGGATTTTTTGTAATAACAAAAAATTATGAAGGATTTTTTTTTTCAACAAATGTGGGTACTACAAGACCTGAGGTTAATTGAATTCATGAATGCAGAACTGGAGACACAGGGCTGACTATGGCACTTAAGCATCTAAGGATTTTGGTATATTGGGGCTCCAGGAACCAATCATAGATACCGAGGAACTGTAATGAAATACTTATGCACTTGCTTGCATCTGTCTCTCTCCTCCTAGATTCCAGGCTTCAGGAAGGCAAAGGCCAGGTTTGTCTCATTCACTGCTCTACCCAGTGCCTGGCACAGGGCACAGAATACAGTAAGTGTGCAATAAAAGTATGTTGTCTGAATAAATCTATTAATTGAATGAATTAAACTTAACCACTGCACTAATTGATGTTGGGAATAAAGAGGGGATGTGTGTGTATGTTAGTCACTCAGTCATGTCCGACCCTTTGCGATCCCATGGACTGTAGCCCGCCAGGCTCCTCTGTCCATGGAATTTTCCAGGCAAGAATACTGCAGTGGGTTGCCATGCCTTCTTCATGGGTATCTTCCCGACCCAGGGATTGAAACCGCCTTTCCTGTGTCTCCTGCATTGGCAGACAGGTTCTTTACTGCTGTACCACCTGGGAAGCCCAGAAAGATCCCTGTGGTGATAGTTTAGTTGCTCAGTCATGTCCGACTCCTGTGACCCCATAGACTGTACCCCGCCAGGCCCCTCTATCCATGGGATTCTCCAGGCATGAATATTGGAGTGGGTTGCCATTTCTTTCTCCAGGGGATCTTCCCAACCCAGGAATCAAACCCAGGTATCCTGCGTTGCTGGCAGATTCCCATAATTCCCCCCAGATTAATGACCAGTTTTAGATTCTTATAGGCCATTCTTTTTCACACATATTGAGAACATTTATTGCTTAGCATGTGGGAAACACCTGTTAAGTCATTTACATTATTATCTCTAATCCTTGCAAAGATCCAATGGGGGATTCTATGCCTGTTTTCCAGGCCAGGAAACTGAGGCTTATAAATGAAGCCACCTGCCCAAGGTCACACAGGTATGCTGTGGCAAAGTCGGGATTCAAACCCAGGACCGTTTGACTGCAGAATCTAGGTCATGGCTCCTGAAGTGGGGCTTGAGGATTGTGTCACACCCCTCAGCAAGTTTCAACTTCCCCAGAAGGCTTGGGCACAGTGCCTTGAGAAGGCTCTGCTATTCCTGAATTTGGGGGGAGGCCACCCCCCCCCACTCCCCTGGAGCAGGAAGTGGCAACCCACTTCAGTATTCTTGCCTGGAGAATCCCATGGAGAGGGGAGCCCTGGCAGGCTATAGGGTCCACAGGGTTGCAAAGAGTCAGACACAACTGAAACAGCACACGTGCACCCCCCACTCACTGTCCTGCTTAAAACCTTGCTGACACCAAAATAAAGCCCAGTGACTCCCCGGGATCTCTGACCTCATTAGAGGACCCAGTGCAAGGTATCTTCTCCTCAACTCTCCTTTCTCAGCTCCAGTCACAGGGAATGACTTCCAATTCCCCCAAGAGGTCACATCCTCCTGGCTCCAGACTCCTGCTGATAACTTGGCTGAAATGCATCCTGTTCTCTTTCTCCTGGTTAACTTCTCTCTTCCCTCATTTCACAGCTCAACCACCCCCTCCTCCAGGAAACCTTCCCTTACCACCACACAGGCTTGGATAATTGATCCTACAACACCCACCAAACTATATAACTCTATGTCAGGCACTACAGAGAGCTTTTTCCCTATATGATCTCATTTAACACCCACAAAATCTCTACAGCACTGGCATGTCAGAGTGATCTGGAAAGTTTAAAAAAAAAATTTTTTTTTTTTGCCCCAGAACTAACACTCAGAAATTCTGATTAAAAAAAAAAAAAAGAAATTCTGATTGAGTTGACCCAGAATGCAGCCTGGGCACCAGGATTTGTTAAAAGTTCCCCAGATGAAATTTTAAATGCTCAGCCAGGGTGGAGACCTGCTGGCTTCTGAGAGAGACGTGGCCTTTTTCAGCCAGGAAAGCTGAGGCACAGAGAACTTTCCTGGCCTTTTTCAGCCAGGAAAGCTGAGGCACAGAGAACTTAAGTAAGCAACCTAAGGTCACGCAGCTAATGAATGGTGGAGCAAGGATTTTATATATATAATTTTTATATATATTTATATATTTATTTATATATTTATTATTATTTTTATTATTTATTATTTTAAATATATATATATATATAATTTGTTTATTTTTGGCTGTGCTGACTGTTGTTGTGCAGGATTTTTTCTACTTGTGGCGAGCCGGGGCTTCTCTCTAGTTGTAGTATACTCATTGAGGTCACTTCTTTTGTTGCGGAGCACAAGCTCTAGGAAGCGCAGGCTTCTGTAGTTGTGACACATGGGCTCAGTAGTTGTGGCTCTCAGGCTCTAGTGCACAGACTCAGTAGTTCTAGTGCCCGGGCTTAGTTGCTCTGCGGCATGAGGGATCTTCCCAGACCAGGGATCAAACCCAGATCAATCCGTGTCTCCTACACTGGCAGGCAGATTCTTTACCACTGAGCCACCAGGGAAGCCCCGGAGCAAGGATTTGAACCCAGAAAGTCTGTTTTCAAAGCTTCATGAAAAAAAAAATCAGTTGGTCTCAGTTCATTTCCCCAGCGATGAACTGGGAGCCAGCTCCCTTCTGAGACAGACACTGAGGGCCCCTCGGGCATGGGATATTTTTAACCAAGAGAAGCCAGTGATTCCTGCAGCCAGCCTGCAGTGACTTGAACACTAGGGAGATTGTTTCAGGGCTTATGGACCCTCTTGCTGCTGAAATATTCCTCTGAGTCCAGCCTTCTGTCCCCTGAAGCCAGTAGGTCCAGGCTGGCTCAGGCGACAGGGGTGGAGGGGGTAGGGTGGGGGTTGGCTCCATCTGGAACTGATGTTTCCAAGCATATTTCCATACATGGTGGAAGGGGAGAGGGTCAGGATTACCTCACCCAACCCAGCCCCTTCTCCCTGCTTTCTGCCTGGAAAGGAGAACAAACAAGTGTTGGAACTGGATATGAATTCACCCTCCTCCTTCTTCCCCTCCCTAACCCAGAGGAGTCCTGTGAATGCTGCAGAACATGTCCAAACACACACATCGAACATTCTCCAGACGCTCTCCTATGTGGCTTTGTGGGAGGATACATTGGTATAGTGTTAGGGGAACCCAACTTGGGGGCTCCTCTTAAAATGCAAAATGTGGGAATTGCCCTGGTGGTCCAGTGGTTAGGAATCTGCCTTCCAATGCAGGGGAGGAGGATTCCATCCCTTTTTGGGGAACTAAGATCCCACATTCTACGCAACACAAGGAGAAGCTCGAGTGCAATAGCAGACCCAGCGCAGCAAAAAAAAAAAAAAAAAAAGAAAGAAAGAAAGTACTACTAAATAAGTTCTAAGAAAAATAAACAAATAAAATGCAAAATATGAATGGCTTTTGTGCAAGCAATCTCACCTACAGAATTTCCCCTAGAGATATCTTACTGGGAGGCAGAATTCCCCCCAAAATACCCCCATGAGTCGGCAAAGATGTACATTCAAGGATGTTCATCACAGCATTGCTCATCATTGAAAAAAACTGGCAACCACCCAAATGTCCATCCATAGGGGACTGGTGAGCTGAAGTGGGATGTATCTATATGGGAAGAGGGGAGCTATGTGCTGACATGGAAAATAGGTCCAGCATCTATCAGTTTAGCAGAAAGAAAAAGGAAATAGTAGAACTGGATGTGGGTTTCCCCAGTGGCTCAATCTGTCTCCAAAGCAGAAGATGCAAGTTTGATCACTGGATCAGGAAGATCCCCTGGAGGAGGGCACAGCAACCCACACCAGTATTCTTGCCTGGAAAATCCCATGGACAGAGGAGTCTGGCGGGCTACAGTCCACGGGGTCACAAAGAGTCGGACACGACTGAAGCTTCTGAGCACACACACACACACACAGAACTGAATGTAGAGTATAATCCAATGTTGGTTAATAATTAGGTTGACACATAAATAGAACAATTTGGAGGAATAATCTCACCTATCTGTGGCTGTTTCCTCTAACCCTGGAGGTAGAATTATGGTGATTGTTGACTGTCACTGCTGTATATATATATATATATATATACACACGTACACATATATATATATACACACACACACACATATAATATCTGGATTTGATATACCAACATGCAGTAATTTTATTACCAGATAAAAATTAGATAGTGAAACAGAAACTTATGTGAAAATCAAATGGATCCACTTGAAAATTTGTTCATTTTATGTTCTGTGAATTTTACTTCAATTAAAAAAAAAAAGTCATTGTAACTCAAACTACCCAAAGAAAAATTCCAGTAGAGCTGAGAGCAAAATATTACATGTATGTTCCATGAATTTTACCTTTAAAGAAAACACACTGGGGTTTTCCTAGTGGTCCAGTGGTTAATCCAGGAGATCCTGGTTCTATCCCTGGTCCGGGAAGATCCCACATGCCTCAGGGCAACTAAGCCCGTGGGCCGCAACTACTGAACCTGTGCTCTGGAGCCAGGAAGCTGCAGCTACTGAGCCCATGGGCAGCAGCTACGGCAGCCCTCACGCCCTAGAGCCTGTGCTCCACAGCAAGAGAATCCATCGCAATAAGAAGTCTGCGCACACACCTAGAGGGCAGTCCCCACTCTCCGAAAGTAGAGAAAGTGTGAGTGCAGCAGTGAAGATCGAGCACAACCGAAAATAAATAAATATTTTTAAGAAAACACTGTTTTGCTTTTCAGCATGTTTTGTTCATATTTTTGGTGCTTTTTCCATGCTTTTCTTTCTTGTAATTGCTTACAAATGAGTCATTACTTACTTGTTATTATGAATTCCAAGAAAATCACACACACACACACACACACACACACAATCACGTGTTTACTAGAGCATCATCTGACTTTCCAATCAACACAAAATTTGCCATGGAAGGGAGCATTCTTGTTTTGTCTCTTCCAGACCTGTTTTGACACCCAGGTTAGCCATCTTGGCACCCAACTAAGGTGAAAAGAAATGATTGGAGTGCATTTTCAGACCACACTATCAAGGATATTTTTAGCTCCTTGAAATTTCAGTCTTTGGGTAGCACATGTTGGCTCCTCTTGTAGTTCCCAGATTTGGGATGCCCCTTTGGCAGCTATCACTGACCCTCTCTTTCCATCAATTCTGATATATTTGGGTCAATTAGGGACTCTTCTTCCCTTTCCTGGGACCACAGGGTATTCCTTGGTGTTACCAAACCTGCCCTGGGTTCCAGAGAAGTGACGTTAATTTATCTTACTTAGCCATATTTTGATGACTGGTCAGAAAGTGGTTTAAAGGCATGGTTGTGGAAAGAAAAGGGCTTTTTTAGAACCAAACAGTTCCTATGTCAAGGATCATTCATTCCACAGATTACTGACTACACCGGGGAAACTGTACGTTTACAAGAGAGAGAGAGCAGTTACTGCTTACCTGGCATTTAAATTCAGCATTGATTAGAGTGGCAGGTGTAACACCAAGTTCCCAAGGCCATCTCTGAGGTCCTGCTGAATCAAATCAAGCTGTGGTCTTGGTTACAGGAAATAAGGGGAACACAATCAGTGAAGCTGGAATGTGAGAGTTAGATAACTGTCTTGGACTCAAAAAAAAAAAAAAATCACTGTCATGAAGGAAAGAAAAAAGGCAGAGGGACTTGCTGAGGGTTTTTTTTTTTTTTTTTTTGGCTATACAACAGGTCCTTGTTGCTTATCCATTTTAAATACAGCTGTGACCTTCCCAGAGTCACTGCTATCCCTTCCCCCTCGTTGCTGAGATTTTTAACTGGAGATGGAAAATAACATGGAAATGAAAGCCACTCTGGAAGATAATTTGGCAGCTTCTAAAAAACTAAACATGCAACTGACTATATAACCCAGAGAATTTTAAAAAACGTATGCCTAGGGACTTCCCTGATGGTCCAGTGGATAAAAATTCGCCTGCCAAGGCAGGGGATTGGGGTTTGATCCCTGGTCCAGGAAGATTCCACAGACTGCAGAGCAACTAAGCCTGAGAGCCGCGACTACTGAGCCTGTGTGCCCTGGAGCCTGCGCTTCACAAGAGAAGACACTGAAAATGAGCAGGCTGTACACCACAGCAAAGAGCAGCCTCCGCTTCCCAAAACCAGGGAAAGCCCCTAGTGCAGCAGCGAAGACCCGTCACAGCCAAAAACCAACAAAACAAACTTTTGCTCACACAAAAGCTTGTACAGGAATACTCTTAACAGCTTTATTTGTGATAGCAAAATACTGGGAACAACCCAGTGTCCTTCCACAGGTGAATGGTTGAACAAACCCTGGTACTTCCATTAATGGAAAACTATTCAGCAAGGGAAAAGAATGCACCAGTGATACATGCAACAACTTGGATGGACCGCAAGAACATATTTTTTATTAGAAAAAAGTCAGTCTCAAAAAAAAAATCACATACTGTAGATTCTGTTTATATAAAATTCTAACAAATGAAAACTAATCTATAGTGACAGAAGCAGGAGGGGGCTAGTGGAGAGAGATACTGGGGAGGGATGGATAGCCAAGGAACACCAGGAAACTTTGGGGAGTCGTGGATATGTTTGCCAGCTGGTTTGCATAAATGGTTTCATGGGTGGACCTGTTTTCAAAACTCATCAAATTGTATGCTTTAAATATGTGAAGTTTATTGACTATCAATTATCCCTTAATAGTGCTGCTTGTAAGGAAGAAAAAAGAAATAGCAAGATGATTTATGTGAGAATTAAGTGAAATAAAGCATATTAAGCACTTTGTATGGAGTCTGGGATATGAAGTAAGCGCTTCACGTGGAGTCCGACACACAGTAAGTGGTCAATAGTTGTTGCTGTTGGATCTTGGCTGGTCTCCTGGATGATTCCATCCTGCTGTCATATAAATAAAACATGTCCCTGTTTATTTTCTTTATAACATTGAAATAATCTGTAATTATTTAGTTCATATGTTTATTTGTGGTCTGTCTCAAGACTCTGAGCACTCTGGAGCAGAGATGGGTCTGATGACACCCGGGCGTTCACCACCACCCCCATCCCACCCCTCCCCTCTCCCACCCGCCTGGTGCTGCTTTGCTGCTTTGAACCAGTGGATTCTTGCCCACTATCTCCCTGCTTAGAAGTGGCATCCTTTTGCTAGAGGTCAGAGGAATGATTCATAAGTGGCGGCCTAAGCAGGTCAAGGATCTGCCATGCCAGGGGTAAGGGGTAGGACTCCTGAGGCCTTCTGTCCATAGACACGCCTGGCTTCCTAAGAGGACAAAACTACAGGTAGCCGCTCTAGTAGAAACCAGCATCTTATTAAGAGTCAGGAGATTTGGTTCCAAGAGCAGCTCTGTCCCGGACTCCATAGTGGGACCTGAACAAGTCTATTGTGCCCATTCCCCTCCTCTTCGTTTTTTTTTTTTTTCTTTAAATATATGTATTTATTTATTTGACTGCACCGATCAGTGTTAGTCGTTCAGTCCTGCCCGACTCTTTGAGACCCCATGGACTGCAACCCACCAGGCTCCTCTGTCCATGAGATTTTCCAGGCAAGGATATTGGAGTGGGCTGCCATTTCCTTCTCCAGAGCATCTTCCCAAACCAGGGATAGAACCCGGGTCTCCTGCACTGCAGGCAGATTCTTTACCGACTGAGCTATAAAGGAAGCCCGAACTGGGAGTATGGAGCACCTCCTGGTCCTTTTAAAAGGAAACATGAAAAATTTTCAGACTTCCGTCTGCTTCTGCGCATCCGTGACCCTCTTAAGAGTCACGGTGATGGGAACCGAATTGGTCATTTGGCTCTTCAGGGGTGATGGGAGCCGAATTGGTCATTTGGCAACTGTGAGCTCCCAGGGGTAACTACAATATTACAACCCAAATCATGCGTGGTACTGTGGGAAACCTCCAGGCTGGACTTCCAGGTGTGACAAGGTGAAAGGGTGCTCAGTCATGTCCAACTCTTTGTGACCCTGGTGGGCTTTTAGCCCGACAAGACTCCACTGTCCATGGGTTTTTCCAGGCAAGAATACTGGAGTTAGACACGTACCCCTAAATCACGGTGACTAGAAATATATGAGAAAACGCCGCAACAGAAGCCAACAAACTTCGTGAAGCATGCTTTACCTCGAAGAGACGTAAACTCCCCTTAGAACCCACCTAAAATTCAGTTTTCACATCAATATGGGTGTGAGAGTAGCACCGTAAAGAAAGCTGATGCGTTCAAACTGTGGTTTTGGAAAAGACTCTTGAGAGTCTCCTGGACAGCAAGGAGAACCAACAATCAACTTAAAAAAAAAAAAAATCAGTCCTGAACGTTCATTTGAAGGACTGACGCTGAAGCGCCAATACGTTGGCCACCTGATACGAAGAACCGACTTACTAGAAAATATTCTGATGCTAGGTAAAATTGAGAGAAAAGAGCATCAGAAAATGAGATAGTTGGGTGCTATCTACCGGCCCAACGAACAGATTTCAAGTAACTCAGAAAGGTGATGGTAAAGCCAGCTACAACAAAAATACTACACTTCATTAACTCAGTTGAAGTGAAGAAAGATTTTAAGCTTCTTTTTATACAAGTAAGATTCAGTCTCCGTAGAGACTGTCAAAAATTGCCAATGCCGACTATATTTCAAGTCGTCATGGCGGGGTATTGGGAAAAGTTTTCAATTAGCAATAATCGCGCCTCGGATAAACCTCATTGGCTACGATACTGCCACTGCGCAAAGCTGGAGAACGTGAGCACGCACCCGCTTCCCCCATGGCTGACAACGCCCTTTTCACTGAGGGTGAGCGACCACCAGCGAGTTTGTGGATTGGGTGCGTTTCCCTGCAGGCGGTTACATTTAAGACCCATCCGCGCGGGGGGCTTCTTATAGTTGGACCGTCTCTTGTCGAACAGTTATTTTGGAAATAAGAGCGCTTTCGCTGAGAAATGTTATGCAAATTAGCATGACGTCACAGACACGAATTGGGTTAAGACTTGTACTCTGAGGAGGAAACGGCATCAGGAAGACCGGAAAGCGAGGGCAAACCGAAGAGGAACCAGGAATTGGAGGTGAGAGTGCTGGGACCAGAAAAAAAAAGCACTATTATAACCCGAATTAAAAAAACTTATCTGTTCCTATAAAAATAAGAGAACCGATAGAAAAAAACCTGGGTTACCCAACAGGTTTGATCAAGTAATTTTCAATAACTGACGTACTTAGTTAAATTTTGGGTATATTTTAACTTAAAACCCCAGAGATAAAGGGGTACAATAAATAAGACCTCCACCTATTATCGTCAAACACCCTTGTTTCACCGCAGAAACAGTACTTTCCTTTAAGACCGCTTTTAATTCAGTCTCCGTAGAGACTGTCAAAAATTGCCAATGCCGACTATATTTCAAGTCGTCACGGCGGGGTATTGGGAAAAGTTTTCAATTAGCAATAATCGCGCCTCGGATAAACCTCATTGGCTACGATACTGCCACTGCGCAAAGCTAACGAATAACGCCCCTTCTCATCACTCCCAATAAGCAAGGTTCCTATTTCAGAAAGGTGAGTTTGTGTCTCATGGCAAAATCCTTAATTATTGAATGAATAAAAATTAGACAACCATATAAAGAGCTCTCGGAAAGATAATAAGCTGATTCAATTGCTTGATTTCGCTTAGTTTTTAGTGGAAAATGAAGCAAAGCATTGTGGGAGGGAACATGCTAATAACCTTAACTCAAGACTACGAATTGGGGAGGAAAAGAAATGTGCTCTGTGTTGAGTGCTGTTCATTTGGCTTCTAATTCACGGTGTGACTGTCCTCTGAAAAAGTGTTGGTTATCATTATTGTTGTTGTTGTTAATTGTACCAAAGTGTGCATAACATAAAATTTGCCATTTGGACCATTTTTAAGTGTACAGTTCGGTAGCAACCATCACCACTGCACATCTCCAGAATTTTTTCATCATCCCAAACTGTTCCCATTAAACACTAACTCCCCACTCCTCTCCCCACAACCCCTGGCAACCCCTATTTCACTTTCTATGAATTTAGTAACTCTTAAGCATCTCATGGACAGAGGAGCCTAGCAAGCTACAGTCCATGGGGTTGCAAGAGTTAGACACAACTTAGCGAGAAAACCACAGACTTCATATAAGGGAATCACACAATTATTTGACCTTTTGTATCTACCTTATCTCAGAGCATGTTTTTAAGGTTCATCCATGTTTTGTAGTATATTTCAGAATTTCATTCCTTTCTATGGCTAATATTCTACTGTATGGAATTTTGTTATCTATTTATTCTTTGATAGGAGGTTTCTTCCTTCCATTGTGAATAATGTCTCTTGGCATACAAATATCAGTTTAAGTTCTTATTTCAATTATTTTGTGTGTATATCTAGAAGTGGAATTTCTGAATCATATGGTAATTTAATATTTAATCTGAAAAGATTTTCTGGACAGGAAATCTTAATTCAGTGGAGAGAGGTTATTTCCACAGAAATGCCCACCTGTTCGTGAGTTTGAAGTAACTGTCACTCTCATTGCCTTGGCAAGTGGAAGGCTACTAGAAACCTTTATCTGGACTTGTTTCAGCTCTTAACTATATTTTCCAAAAGAGTTTTGGTTTTTGCTACTCACTAAGATGAAAACGGTAGTCTCTGAGAAAATTGTATTTCCCCCAACATTTCATCACGAAAAACTTCAAACACGAAATGTTCAATGCATTGCTTACTGAATATTTATGTAGTCATCAACTAGATGTAAAAATGACATAAGAAGGCCTGTTTGGGGATTTTCCTGGTGGTCCACTGGTTAAGAATGTGCCTACCAATGCAGGGGACACATGTTCCATCCCTGGTTGGGGAAGATCCCACATGCTGCAGGGTAACTAAACTCATGTGACACTACTGAGCCCATGCTGTAGATCCCCCGGCTCCTCAACAACGTAAGCCACTGCAGCCAGAAGCCTGTGCACCTCAACTACAGAGTAGCCCCCAGTCTCTGCAACTAGAGAAAGCCAGCGCACAGCAACAAAGACCCACTGCAGCCAAAATTTTTTCTAAAAAAGGCCTGTTTGATGCTGATGTCTAGTTAACTCTTCCCCACCCCCCACCCCCCACAGCCAGGGTAGGAAAAAACAGCAGAGAGAAAAAGAAAAGACTAACAGTGTGATTAACTTAGAGGACTTTGTCATTAATGCTTGGTGCAGTGGATTTGTGAGAAATGTAAAGACTAGCATCATCCAAGGAACTTCTCAGCCCTTGAGAATGTCTCGATTGGGTGGCTCATTACACCCTGTCAGTAGCTACCAAGGGAAATTGTATTTCTTCTTCTTCTTTTTTTTTTTTTTTAAGGGAAATTGTATTTCACCACTGTCTTGGATGACTTCATCCTCCATGGATGACTTCCCAGCACTAAGAAAGCTGGAAAACTCAGCTAACTTCTCCCCAGAACATGAGATTCTTTGGGGTCTAAAGGCACAATAACCTTGTGTTCCTGGCCAGTCTCTTAATGATGCTTATTCCCCTTGGAAAACTGGGGAAATAATGTGGTTGTGAAGTTTTCCATGATAATATTGGCCTGAGATGGGGGTAATGTCATGTTTTGACATTTCCATAGGTTTTGATCCAACACTCATTTGTGCAGAAAATATTCTGGATTATAATTTTTTGCCTTAGTTTCCATTCTACTATTTTGATCCTTTTTTTTTTTTTTTCAGCCAGGGTTCCCTGTGGCTTCCGTGTGTCTCAGCTGGTAAAGAATCTACCTGCAGTGCGGGAGACCTGGGTTTGATCCCTGGGGTTGGGAAGATCCCTTGGAGAAGGGAACAGCTTCCCACTCCAGTATTCTGACCTGAAGAATTTCATGGAAATTCATGGGGTGGCAGAGTCGGACATGACTGAACGACTTTCACTCACTTTCAGCCAGGGTGGTCAGGTTAACTAAGGCACAAAATATTCACGTCAAGTGATTCTCCCAGCCCAGGGACCTATTTGAGGTGTGACTGGAGGTACTGCTCCCAAAGTGATCTCTGGTAGCCTCGGCCTGCAGAGGCTTGAAGCAGGGCTTCGGTTCCCAGTCTGAGATTGAGGTCGGGTCTTGCAGAGAGATAGCTGAATCCTAACTACTAGACCAGTGATGAGTAACAAGGCCCTGGCTTTGCAAAAAAAAGAATTCCCACAAAGACGAAAAGTAGTAAGACAAGTAAAATGTTTGTTAGGAGGAAAAAGAGTACAGTACATCTAGATAGACACACAGGGGGACTCAGAGTTGCAACCTCATAGTAGTTTGAATCACTTATATGGGGCATTTCTTCTGGGTTTCCTTTGGCCAGTCATTTCATTCTGCCTGGTTCTGAATCCCTATTCAGTGCCTCTCAGTATCCTCCAACGTGTGCGCATGAATCTCTTGTCAGGATGGATTTTACCAAAAAAGCTTATGGGTAAATTTAGCATAATTCCTCTTTTGACCTCCAAAGAGTTTCTGGTCTGGAAGTCAAGGTTTCCTTGACTTGAAGGATGAGAAATATGTGATCTCTTATTTTTATCTGGGCAGGGGCCAGCCTCCTCTCTTGGTTGTACTGCTATTGATATTTTGGAGTTTCTGTCTACAGGAAATAAACTCAAATTGCTTTCCTTGTGGGTGAGTTGGGGGGGGGGGGGGCATCTACCCCCTGCTTCAAAACTACTGAACTTACTTTACCAGTATTTACCTCTGTGCATTCAATGAGCGTAAACTCTGACTCCAGCTTTCATACTACTTCTCCTGGCCTCAGGTTTTTTGTTGTTTTTGTTTTGTTTCGTTTGGTGGTGTCCAGTGGCTTGAGGGATCTTAGTTCCCTGACCAGGGATTGAACATGCACCGTCAGCAGTGAAGACTCTGAGTCTTAACCACTGGACCATCAGAGAATTCCCCTCATTTCATTTTAAAATGGGGGAAGTGGTTCCTTAGAGTGGTCTTCAAGGTCAGTGCTAGCTGTTTTGATGTGTTCTAAAGCACAGATTGATGCCTTATTCAGGCAATGCTACAGATCAGTGGTTCTCACTGGCTGCATATTATAAACAACTGTGAAGTTTGCAAAACAATTTGGTGCCCAAGTGTCTCCCCAGACCAGTTAAATCAGAATTTTTGGAAATAAGACTCAGGCATTGTGTTGGTTAATTTAATAAAAACACAAGATGAGAAATAAAGTTGGAGAAGCCACATGTGTAATCATATTAGTCCCTGTATATTATATTTCACTTTAATTGTTCCTTTCAACTGTAATCAGTTTTCCAGACATTTGTGAATGAATTTCTTCACAACTCACTGCATGGTGGGAACCTGATTCCGTTTCGATTCGTGGGAAGGATCGTAAACACTGAAGTTGAGGATGAGTCAAACCTAGATCCATCACTGAAACTTCTAATGAGAGAGTGAATTCCCATTTGGATTGTCAACTAAAAAAGATGCACAACGTGAGACTTGCGAGTTGTTTTATTTGGGGTAAAATGAGGACTGCAGCCTGGGGGACAGCACCTCAGGTAGCTCCAAGAGACTGCTCCAGAGAGGTAGTGAGGGAAGGTCAATATATAAGGTTCTGGTGAAAGGGGAGCTTAATGCAATCAAGTGCTCACTTTACAAAAGGTGTTCTGTTAGTGATGTCACCATGAAGGGATTTAGTGATTTTCTAGATAGGAAGAGATGGCAAAAATTGGGATCATGAAATCAGTTCCTGAAAATACCTAACTATCTAAAGACCTGTCCCACCAGACTGCCTGGAGCACAGAGTGCCTCACTCCACCCTGAACTCCCTCAGGGGGTGTTCAAGGTCAACAGCTGCAGCAGCACATCATTCAATCTCGTTTTTGTTCAGTCACTGGCAAATGCTCTTTGCAGCTCTTTGCAATTACAAATTTGCAAGTACCAATTTATAGTTGACAGGATGTACTATTTTTTTATTTTTTACTATTTTTAAGAAATATTTATTTATCTGGCTGTGCTGGTTCTTCACTGTAGCACGAGAGAGGCATGTGTGATTTAGTTCCCTGACCATGGATCGACTGGGGCCCCCTGCTTTGGGAGAGCTGAGTCTCAGCCACTGGATCATCAAGGAAGTCCTTGGATGTACTATTTTGCACTCAGGACACTGGCATCTAAACTAACCGCTTCTCTCTCAAAAACGCAATGGCTTAGGAGAGAGCTGCACAACACATACGTGGGTTTGAAACCTCTGACCAGAGAAGGCCAACAGGGGGCCTTACTGAACAACCTGGGTCCCACAACTGTGAAGCCCAGAGGGCTGTGGGATTTGTAGTTCTTCTTGCATCATTTCGGCTTCATGAACTACATTTCCCAAAATGCAAATATAGCCGTTCTGTCCCTGTTGGGCGTAAAGTGTCCCTTAAGCTGTGGAAGGTAAGTGTGTTCTGTGAGGGCTGCAGGTTTCTAGAAATTGTGGATTCCATTTCTCTTCTTTGCCCTTTGGTGGGATCTGGGAGAGAGCAGTTGTTCCAGTAGAGCATGTTTTCAACGGGGTTTCCCGAGCCCTTTGGTCTCAGGAATCGGGATCCTGTATTTGTCTTAACTGTTCACGTGTTGATTTGGAAAGTCAGAGTCCTGATCCCAGATCTGGAAAGCCCAGTATAAAATAATGTTTACGTATGGGGTGAGTGTCACTGGAGAATGTCTACATTTTATCAAAATCTATGTCAAGGCCTTGTTTTTTTACAGCTAGAAAAGCTGAGGAAGACTGTCTTGTCATGTCTCATGACTCTTCACTGTGTCCAAGCATCTGTATTTGCAGTTGAGGGTAAATTAATAGAATATGGGGGAAATAAAAGGTAGATGAGTGCTTAACTACATTAATAAAATCCTGAAAAGTCTGAACAACAGTTTCATCAACTAAACTGGAATTCAAATATGCCTCTTTAGTTTATGAAGAAATAAGATAATTTTAATTTATAAAGTGGGATGTAGGTTTTTGGGACACACAGCCCCCCGAGGGATGGTTTAACTAAAAATATAAATGTGTTCCTCTGATAGAGACGTCTTCAGATGGAGTCATAGATAGGTTAACAATGAGCTATTAAAGGACTTAAATATTTTTTTATTTTTGTCTGTGTCGGGTCTTTGTTGCAGCACGTGGGATCTCAGTTCCCGGAAAGTGTTGAAAGTGTTAGTCACTCAGTCATGTCCAACTTTTTGTGACCCCATACACTGTAGCCCACCAGGCTTCTCTCTCCAGGGGATTTCCCAGGCAAGAATACTGGAGAGGGTTGCTATTTCTTTCCCTAGGGGATCTTCCTGATCCAGGGATCAAACCCAGGGAATACTACTTTAGTTCCTGGACCAGGGATCAAACCAACATCATCTGCATTGGAAGGCAGATTTTTAACCACTAGACTGCCAGGCAAGTCCCAACCACTCACTTTTTGAAATTTATAAAAAATTCAGTTCTGACCAGCCAGGAGTTACTGGGAGAGACAGAATAGTTCTTATATTATGTTAGAATTCTGCTTATCATTTTACCTCCCTCCTTTTTAAAATAGATTTTATTTTTCAGAGGCCCCCTCTTTTTTTTTCTTTTTCTTTCTTTTTTTTTTAGGAAACCAAAATATACAGTTTCCCTTGGATGCAGAAAGCCTTGGCAGATTTGCCAGTCATAATTAATTCACATCTGATGGTCAGAGCATAGGCGAGCTATGGCTCTTAGGAGACCAGGAATACAAGAGAGGCTTGGGCTATCATGAAATAAAACTATACATTTTATTTTGTGTACAAGGTTGTTGTTGTTTAGTCGCTCAGTCACGTCCGACTCTTTGTGACCCCCTGGCCTGTAGCCCTCTAGCCTCCTCTGACAATGGATTTCCCAGCCAAGAATACTGGAGTGGGTTGCCATTTCCTTTTCCAGGACATCTTCCCGACCCAGAGATCGAACCTGCTTCTCTTGGGTCACCTGCATTGGCAGGCAGGTTCTTTTTTTTTTTTTTCAGGCGGGTTCTTTACCACTAACGCCACCTGGGTTTGGGCTTCCCTGAATCAGGAAGAACCCCTGGAGAAGGGCACTAAATAAGGATGTTACCCAAGCTTTGCTTTTAGTTTCTTGCCTAGAGTTAAGGTTTGTCTATGTAAGTTTAGGCTAAGCTTAACCCTTGTTTACCTCCGTACTGTTGATAATCATATGCTCTTGCTGTCATTTTTGTCTAGGTCAAGGGCAACATGAGGGAGGTACATGTTTTAAGTTACCTGCCCTTGTTCACTATGTCTATTTATTTCAGATATGTTTTCTCCAAATACTATATGATTGCTAATATCGTCTAGATATTGGAATTTTGTCTACCGTTAAGGCAAAATATTCCATATTTTAGCTTCTTTTCAAACTTCTTCATTCTTCTTTCTTCTCATTAAAAAAAATTATTTATTTGGCTGTGTTGGGTCTTAGTTGTGTGATGTGGGATCTTCCTTGCCACGCGACACCTGAGCTCCAGAGCACTTAGGCTCAGAATGTTGCCGTTTAATAGGGAGTAGTTGTCGCAGTTTCCCTGTGTTAAAAATGGGGAGTCTTTACCACTGGACCACCAAGGAAGTCCTTTATGATTTTTCTGATCATATCCCTTAAGTTTATAAAATATGGGTGTAAACATTTTACATGGCTTTTGGCATTTTCATGGATTTTGGCATTTCTGTACTTGCACTGTCAAGGGCACACTAGGGCATCTGCAATCCAAACATTCCTCTAAGAAATTACTATTAAAAAATTTATTTGTTATTGTGGAGATAGGTAATGTAATGAATCCCCATCCATGGATCTATCACAAATCTTCAACAATGAACAACTCTTGGTTAATCTTGTGCTATTTATTTACTCTACCTATTGATTATTCGCTCATCTGTTTTGTGTGTTTTTTAATTAAATTAAAAATTTTAGGGACTTCCCTGGTGGTCTAGTGGCTAAAACTGTGTTCCCAATGCAGGGGACCCAGGTTCGATTCCTAGTCAGGGAACTAGATCCCACACGCCACAAGTGAATGATCCCATGTGCTACAACTAAGACCTGGTGCTGCCAAATAAATATTTAGAAAAACCTTTTTTTTTTTCCTACATTTAGTTGAAAGTTGCAGGTGTACAACATAGTGATTCATAATGTTTAAAGGTTATATTCCATTTGTAGTTATTATAAAATATTGGCTATGTTCATGTTGTATTATATATCCTTGTAGCTTATTTATTTTATAGATAATAGTTCGTACTTCTTGATCCTCTCTCCCATCTCTCCCCACCCCCCTTCTCTTGGTTATCTTGATTTTTAAAACCCAGTTTCTGAACTTCCCTGGTGGTCTAGTGGTTAAGACCCTGAGCTTCCAGTGCAGGGGCACCAGTTGGATCTCTGGTCTCAGGGAAGTTCCCTGCATCCTATGGGATGCACCGTGTGGCAAAAAAAAAAACACAATAGATAAAAAACAAGTAATTAAAAAAAAAAAACATTTTCTTCTGTGATTTCTTTTTCTCTCTAGCATGAGGATGAGCTTTGGGTTAACTTTCAAAAGGACAACAAAAGTTCGCTGGAGGGCAGACTTCAGCCAGCAGTGCTCACTCGGATCCACTGGGTTATTTGTGCCACCAAGTCCTCCTCTGGACCCTTCGAAGGTCAAAGAGTTACAACGCTTCATCACCCTTTCCAAGAGACTCCTAGTAATGACCGGGGCAGGAATCTCCACCGAGTCAGGGATCCCAGACTACAGGTCAGAAAAGGTGGGACTTTATGCCCGCACAGACCGGAGGCCTATCCAGCATGGGGATTTTGTACGGAGCGCTCCCATCCGCCAGCGGTACTGGGCTAGAAACTTTGTGGGCTGGCCTCAGTTCTCCTCCCACCAGCCTAACCCTGCACACTGGGCTCTGAGCAACTGGGAGAGACTCGGAAAGCTGCACTGGTTGGTGACCCAAAACGTGGATGCCTTGCATACCAAGGCGGGAAGTCAGCGCCTAACAGAACTGCACGGATGCATGCACAGGTATGGGAAGACCTAAAACAGAATGCAGAAACGTGTGCTCCGTTACAACAGGGACCCTGGCCATCCTGATCACTACTGTCTTCCCTAGACCATGAGGAAATGATTCGGGAGGAAGTTGTTTACTCTGGAGTTGATCCTAGCAAATTCAATGAGGGAATGGGACGTGAAACAGGGAAGATAGGAGAGCTCAGGAAAGGTTATACTAATGAATGGGTTACTGCTTGGGGCAGCTGGGGCTCAAGCCTCTCGGGCTCTCTGACTGTACAGCAGTTTCAGAATCATCTCACTGAAAATCAAGGGACCTGGGGCATTTATCCATCATCTCCAGTCCTTCATTGGTGGAGGGGGACTCTGGGAGAATTAACTTCTTAACACTGACTCGGCTCCTGCAGGAAAGCTTCTATGGCCAGAGAATTAGGAAGCCACTTATAAGAGATCTGTATGCAGGTGGCCTCTGAGTGTTCCCAGGGAACTGTCAGCAGACCACCAACAGCATGTGCTACAAACGGCTGGGTCTCCAGTGCCTAGACACATAGATCACAGGATAGCCAGGACCCAATAAAGACTGATGAAATGAACATATGTAGCCCTGATCGTAACTGGTAGCTAATTGGAGCTCATTTTCTTATCTTTAAGCCTGGGACACAGTTCTGTGCAAACTGAGATCAGTGCACCGCACCATTTGTAAACTCTTTATTGGGTGCCTGCAACATGTGGTGTGTACCGGTGTGCTACTTGCTGGTGTGGAGGGGTCAAAACAAAAATATAAAATGTGGTCTGCATTATATATATATAATGTATTATATATATATAATGTATTATATATATAATGTGTTTTATATATATATATAATACCAAAATATAATATGTGAGAATTTGGTAATCTGTTTGTTGGGGGGAACCCGAAAATACCAGGTTTAGTGACAAACAACTCCACACATGACTTATTTTATGTGGTCCTTGATAGACATGTTTTACAGGTTCAGAGAAACAGTGAAGACTGGAATAATCAAGAAAGCTTTTATAGGTGAGGTGGGGCTGGAGAATAGCTCAGGTTTGACTTGACAAAGGAGGGGAAAGAGGGCTTTCCATATGAAGAGAACTTTTGTAGAGTGTGGAGTGGTCTCCTTGGAGGCTAGTATGAAATCAGCTTGTCTGGGAAGGCTAAACCCAAATCCTGGATGCATTTGATAATCACACAGTGCTGATTTGGGTCTGTTGTGAGAGACCAAAGGGGGCTGTTGGTGGTTTCTGAGCAAGAAAGCAATATGATAAAAATAGCATTTGCAGAAGGCTGGACAGGATTAGGAACAGTGGCTCAGGGAGGTCAGCCAGAAGGACTCAGACTAAGGTGGTGTTAGGGAATGAGCTGGGGATGGCTATGGGTTCATTAAGTTTTTTCTGTGATGAAAATTTCAAAAATCCATAGAAGTAGAGTCATATAGTGGACTCCCACATACTATCACCCAGGTTCAAAGAGTTTTATCAAGTCTACTTTATCTTTTCTTTCCATCTCTTCTTAATTTTTTTTTTTTTTTTTTTTTTTGCCTCGCTGTGTGGCATGCAGATCTTAACACCCCAACCAGGGATCAAACCTGTGACCCTTGCATTGGGAGCGGGTGGTCTTAACCATTGGATCGCCAGGGAAGTCCCATCTTCTTAAATATTTTAAAACAAATCTGGGACCTGGCAGTGAAAGCCTGGAATCCTAACCACTAGGCTACCAGGGAACTCCTGGGAAAGTGTTTTTGTGGGTAGCGATAATTACAGCAAATGATTAGAGCAGAAGATGGAGCAGGGTGGAAAACCCTGGTCTCGGGACTAACGAAATTATCTGGTAAAGTCTTTGCAGTTGTGTTAAGGATAAAAGTGAGCTGCAGCAGATTTAAGCAGGGAGTGGGTGGTGAGAAAACAAATGCATGTTGTTCTAGAAGGCTGGCAGGCACTGGAAGGAAGGTGGTAGCTAAAGAGGTCATGACAAGGTATGAATAAAATGGGGGGAAACGGTGGGTGTCAGGGAGAGAAAGCCATCGTGATGGAGGAGCTGGAGATGGCTGGGATGAAAGGTCTCTGGCAGCTTTGTGCCTCCCCCAGAACAGTCAGCCTTCTCTGTGGTTTCAGGGTCCTCTGCTTGGACTGTGGGGAGCAGACTCCCCGAGGGGCGCTGCAGGAGCGGTTCCAAGTCCTGAACCCTACCTGGAGTGCCGAGGCCCACGGCCTGGCTCCCGACGGCGATGTCTTTCTCACCGAGGAGGAGGTACAGAGCTTCCGGGTCCCGTCCTGCTCTCGATGTGGGGGCCCCCTGAAACCAGATGTTGTCTTCTTCGGAGACACAGTGAAGCTTGACACGGTTGATTTTGTGCACAAGAGGGTGAAAGAAGCCGACTCCCTCCTGGTGGTGGGATCTTCCTTGCAGGTAACTGGCTTGTTGTTACAAGTAACTGCAGGCTGGGGGGCCCTGACGGTGGTGGTACTGGTTGTGGTTTAGTCACTAAGTCATGTCTCATTCCTTCTGACCCCATGGACTGTAGCCCGCCAGGCTCCTCTCTGCCTGGCATTTCCCAGGCAAGTATATTGGAATTGGTTGCCATTCCCTTCTCCTGGGGATCAAGCCTTGTCTCCTGAATTGGCAGGCAGATTCTTTACTACTGAGCCACCTGGGGAGCCCTGCAGGGACTCTCTATTGGGTCTAGCTCTTTCTGCATCTAGAGAGCTCTTACCTGCCTCTTCTGCCCCAACAGGTGTACTCGGGTTACAGGTTCATCCTCACTGCCCAGGAGAAGAAGCTGCCCATCGCGATACTGAACATTGGGCCCACGCGGTCTGATGCCTTGGCGTCTCTGAAACTGGATTCTCGTTGTGGAGAGTTGCTGCCTTTAATAGACCCACGCTGACCACAGCCTGATGTTCTGGAGATGGAAACTGGGGCTTTCACTTGAATTCTGCTGCTAAGGGTAAAAAACCTTAGATACTAGATTCCAGTTCCCACTCAAGTCCAATACCACGCTTCCACTGCAGGGGGCATGGTTCCATACCTGGTCAGGGAACTAAGATCCCACATGCTGAGGGACGTGGTCAAAAAAAACGATGGGCATTTTTAATTATTATTTATTTTTAGCTGTGCTGCAGGGGCTTTCTCTGGGTTGTGGCCAGTGGGGGCTACTCTTCATTTGGGTGCAAGGGCTTCTCATTGTGTTGTGTTCTCTTGTTACCTCTAGGCAGGAGGGGTTCACTAGTTGTGGCATGGGCTTAGATGCCCTTCACCACGTGGAATCTTCCAGGACCAGGGATTGAACCCCTGTTCCCTGCATTGGTAGACGGATTCTTAACCACTGAACCAACAAGGAAGTCTTGGTATGGCCATTCTTAACTGAAACTTAAGTGAAATGGTTTCTTAATGGTTAAGTGAAATGGTTTAAACTTAAGTGAACAACAACAACAAAAAAAACTTAAGTGAAATGGTTTCTTAAATGAAACCATTCTTAATTTTTTGATGTACATTAGGCGATATTGTTGGAAAGACTATGATTTTTGAATTCTAGGCACACAGCTATTTAAGACAATGTTCCAAAATCTGCCATTGCCTTTTTCCCCCATTACCAAAAATAACAGCTTTATTGAGATATGATTCCCACACCATAAAGTTCATCCTTTAAAAGTATACTTTAAAAGTATATAATTAATGTGTTCTTAGTATACTCACAAAGTTTACACATGAATCACCACTACTTCTAGAACATTCTCACCATCCCAGGAAGAAAACTTGTACCCATTAGCAATGATTCCCCATTTCCCGCCTCCCGGTCCTGACAACAAATAATCTTCTGTTTTTGCCTGTCCTGGACATTTCATACAGTAGACACTTTTGTGTCTGTCGTCTCCTCTTAGTATGTTTTCAAGATTCACCCATATTGTAGCAGGTGTCAGTACTTTATGCCTATATTTACCTATGAGTACAACCACTTAAAAAAAGTTTTTTTCCAGCTTTGAGATATAATTCATATATCATACAGTTCACTCATTTACTGCATACATTTCAATAGTTTTTAATATATTCCCAGAGGAGTACAGCCACTTTTTTAAAAAATAGATTTTATTTTTTGAGGTTCACGGCAGAATTGAGCAGAAAGTACAGGAGGTTCCCATACATTCCTTCCCCCTGTTTACACGGTATTTGTTGTTTATTTACTGAAGGAAACTTGGTTGCTTCCAACTTCTTGGCAATTATGAATAAAGTGGAGGTTTTCTGTGGACGTAAGTTTTCATCTCACTTGGGCAAGGACCAAGGAGTGAGATTGCTGGATCAGATGATAAGAATATCTGTAGTTTTTAGTTCTTTGATAGTAAGAAACTACCAAGTGTTTTCTCAAGTGGCTGCGTCCCCACCAGCAATGTGTGAGAGTTTCTGCACAGCTCCTTTGTAAAAACCACTTTAATGACCATGTAGAGCCTCAGGATCAAGGAAGAGAATACTGCTAGCCCCCAAGTCCCCTTGGCACAATCACTTTTGAAAGTGTTCGCCATTCAGTTGTGTCCAACTCTGTGATCCCATGGACTGTAGCCCATTAGGTTCCTCTGTCCATGGAATTCTCCAGGCAAGAATACTAGAGTGGGCAGCCATTCCCTTCTCCAAGGGATCTTCCCGACCCAGAGATCGAGCCCAGGCATCTCACATTGCAGGTCGATTCTTTACCATCTGACCCACCAGGGAAGCCCACAATCACTTTTAACTAGTGTCTTATGACTAGAATAAACATATTTATTATGGAAAGTGCAGGTGATACAGATAAGTAAAAAGGATTTTCATACAAATTACCCATAATCTCACCACCAAGATAACCAAAATTTAACATTCTGATGTAACTGAATCTAGATCTTTTCTTACAAAAGTTGAATCAAGCAGTACAGTGTTTTTTCTACATCCTGTTTTCACCTTACAGAGGTGACATGCCCTAAATTCTGTGGTTTTTTGAATGAGGGACTGATGTGCACAGCCATTTCCTCCTCCTCACTGCCGGCTTATTTGGCATTAACTTGTTTCATTTCTTTTCAGATCCCTAAGGATTCATCCCAACTTCCTCTATCTGATTGAGGCTTACCAACTGTAGTCTGCAGAGGGCGGCAAAGCAACATCTCTCTGCAGGACCATCTCTGAACACAGCAGGTTTCAGAGCTCAGGAGTTAAAATCTTCAGGTTGATGAGATTTGCCCCATAAGATGGACTTGCACCCTCTTTTGATAGGAAAACTGCTTTTTAAAAATCTCATTTGGCAGAAGAAAGAGCCCAGGAAGTATGTAAACCAGAATGACCTCCGGAGTGCTAACCTAGGGATCTCACTAATATCCTGAGTAAGGGGAGGAAGGAAATGACTTAATTTATAATTCTAAATGGTTAAATATATTTAACTGAATCATCTTGATATACTTTTTTTTTTTTCAAAAAAATGATGAGCAATACTATGAATTAATTTTTTACTAACCAAGGAATATATGAAACATTTTTAAAATAGCACATTAGGTATGTGGGTTGTACTTTTGTATTTTTTTAATCAGCTGAAAATGAATGTAGCTTTATGACCCAGTTCTTTAAGGATTTCTGCTTGATTTCAGCTACTGGAATGAGATCAGCCTTGAATCTGGTCTGTAGAGAGGAAAGAGTGAATTCCCAAGTGGGTTCTTAAATTGATTTGTTTCTGCTGAGGGAAGCAGCAAGCCTTGTTTGATTACTGTGTTAGCCAGAGAGAATCACTGTCCTACGCTAAAGCTTTCTGCACAATCTCATCAAAAAGTGAAGCGGGTGAAAGATTCACAGCCTATTCTGGGTAGTCTTTTGTCTGAAATTGGGGCAAGCAATATACATTTATCCTGCATCTGCCTAGGAAGCAAATTTCAGTTAACTGGGATAACCCAAGATATTGAAAACACATAGCTTTCTTTTCACCTGCACAATATAGGTTTGCTCATAATCATTAATTCTGGAGAGGCATAAGGTTGTTGTAAATCTCACTCTAGCTTTTTTGCATCTAGAGATACTAAGATGTTCTGAACCAGATTTTCTCAGTTACTAAAAGTCGGTACCACCAATAATTGCATTCAAATCTGGGTGTTTTGAATTCCAAGCCATTCCCCTCCACGAATCTCATAAATGGTTACTGACCAACAGTGTATTTATCTACTAAGTCTACAAAGATACAGCCCCTTGTTCTCAAGTGGCTCACAAAAGATGTGTTATCTCACCCACCCTCATTCCTTACCAAAAGATGTCACAGAGTCAGGCATGAAATGACAGGAGAGAAAATTTAGTCCATCCCCGATTCACTTTGTCTAAGATCCAGACTAAGGCCACAGTTGTTTTTTTTTTAAGGCCACAGTTTTTAAAGAGCCAGGACTAGAATCCAGGTAGATCTTCCTCCCAGTTCTTTTAGACAGCGGTGATTCCTACTTCTCTGAAGATTCCAGTTAGAAGGAAGTTAGCCTGAAGTGGAAGTCAACAGCACCTCTGGCCAAGAATGGTTACAATGTGGGTAGTGGTGACCAGGTTAGGCTGCCAGGGAGAGAGGTCAGGCTCTTTTATCACCTAATGCTGGCACGATTCATGAAACTGAGTCTTGAGGGCCTTAGGAATGTTTGTTTTGGTCATATTTCCTCTGGAGATGGAATTCTTTGCAAAAAAAAATTTGTCTCAAGAGGAACCTGGCATTTCCTGAAGCTGATGCTTCTCATGTCTCTTACTTTACATCTTTTGCTTTCTTCTAGCTTGGCAGTTCCCAACCCGCTGTAAGTGCCCTGAGTTGGACCAACAGACTTATACTAGCAGGTGCTATCAGCTTGTCGCTGGCCTGGTTACATGGTTCTAACTGCATCCGTCCAGCTTTGGCTGTGACTTTCACTCACATCCTTCCTAGTTGCTTCCACAGCTGCTCTGCCATCACAGTTTTATTATATTGTTTGTTTTTTAATTAATTTATTTATTGTGGTTGTGCTGGGTCTTCATTGCTGCACACAGGCATTCTCTAGTTGCAGTGAGTGGAGGCTACTCTTCTCTGTGGTGTTCAGGTTTCTCATTGCTGTGGCTTCTCTCGCTGCAGAGAACAGGCTTCTCAGCACAGACTCAGCAGTTGGGCCCCATGGGCTTTAGTTGCCCCAAGGCATGTGGGATCATTCCCAGACTATGGATTGGACTCACATCCCCAGCATTGCAAGGCAGATTCTTATCCACTGTACCATCAGGGAAGTCCTCACAGTTCTCATAAGAAGAAGTCATGAAGGCAAACAAGTACAGAATACTCAACATTTCCTTCCCACTAACACATATTCCTTCTTTCATGATGTCAAAACTGAATATCCTCTCGGCTCTCCCTTAAATAATAGCATTTGTTGAACATGCTATATCCCAAGCATTGTGCAAAGCATTTTACAACGTATCAGCTCAGTTGACCCCATCAGAGATGCTTGTGCATGCATCAAGGTCAGTCCTCATTGGATTCCAAATGTTTCCTGAGAGGATCAAAGGCAGGATGGACAGAAAATGCAACACTCCTAGGTAGGATGACCAGCCATCCCACATTTCCCAGTACTGAAGGAGTTTCCTGATGCAGGACTTGTAGTGCTAAAACCAAGATGACCTGTTCACCCTGCTCTGAGGAAGAGCAAAGGTTGCTGCCAGCTATAATAGTTAATTCCAGATATATTATTCTTGTTGAGATTCAAGATGGTCCTCTGACATCCAGAGTGTATCCTTAATTTTTTAAAAAAATATTTGTCTGTGCCAGGTCTTAGCTGTGGCATGTAGCATCTTTAGTTGCAGCATGTGGGTTCTAGTTCCCTGACCAGGGATTGCACCCAGGCCTCCTGCATTGGGAGCACAGAGTTTTAGCCACTGGGCAACCAGGGA